AATTATATTTTTTTACTCACTGTAAAGTGCTATAACAATGAGAGTCCTATATTTAACTGTAATAAACCAGCTGATAGCAGAAATGCTATTACAAGTGGTGTTGCTCAAACTAAGGAGTATACAGTATATACATTTAAAATAAGGAAAACTAACTTACAAGTAACATTTCAGCAAGAAATAGAAACTTGTTTTAAGTAAATAATTACTTAATAATGACAAAAAACAAGTTACATTGGCAGATTATTTAACTTATAACAAGACATTTTTCCCATATTATAAGTGAAATAATTTACCACTAAAACTAGAACTTTTTCATCAATATTAAGAAATGATTTACTTACAACAAGCTCCTAAAAGTTACTTGTAATTTAGTTTTGTCTTATTTTTGTGCCAGTGGGAACAAAAGGCAGAAAACCGAGAAGACAAGCTGAAAGAAACATTTCCTGCAGTGCAATAGCGGCTTCTGATACGGGCGAATTGGGCAGATGCCCAGGGCGACGTCTTCTCTAGGGCAGCATGAGCAGTTTTCTAATTATATCTGTTTAAAAAAAGTAATTATTTTATGAAGGGTAGGACTTTTGATAAAAGTTATGGAAATTAATTTGTGTGTTTAAGTGTGTAATTACAAAAAAAGATGAAAAAAAAAAGTTGTGCAGTGAAATTTGTGTATTGATCAAAATGGAACTGTGCACATAACTACGTAAATGTTTGACAAATGTTGCAATTTATTTAATAGTGTTAATTTTCTACAGGAAATCTACAAAAAAAATTCTATTTTTGTATTTTTATTGCATTTTTAGCTGTATTTATAGCATTCTTCTCTCTTCCACATTTTTATATAAATATATAATATACAATATTTACATAAATAAAATATTAAAAGAAGTCTTGGAATGCGTGTCTGTGGTACAATGCTATCATCATGGCATTATGTTTCTATAAATAACATCGACACAGTTTAACTGTTACAGCTCCCTTTTTCTATATGATTGATAATAAATAAATATTAACCTAAGAAATATTTGAAATCCCCTTGCCTTTTTAAATTAATTAAAAAAAAATACTTTACTGAGAGAAATAAATTTACCTGCATTAAGGAATTTTGACCTAATTAAAACTATAATAAATAATTATATTTAGTATAAATTGACAGTTACAGTTCTCTTTTAATTGGTCAGACTTTAGAAGCTTTTAAAAAGGAAAAACTCTGTATATTCATCTGCTTTCTGACAACATATTGCAATAAAATATTAAAAATAATGATTGAAAACTCATTCGGGAAGAAAACTATAAAAAATGTACAAACCCCCTTTAAAAGTGATGCAACTAAAGCCTCATTTTCTCCATAAAAATCGTTTCTTTGTTCACTTCAAGGTCAAGTTGATCACCCGATTGTTCCGTCTAATCAGGAACAAATGAATGACTTTTCTGACTGGTCAGCAGTTTATCTTATCAGATCTTGTTTCCATCTTGGAGCGGCTGATACAAAAACTTTAGATCTTCATCTCTTTGTCCTTTCTTGCATCGTTTAGTCGTGATCTTTTTGCCACCGCCAGCAGATTCTCCATCCTGAAAGACGAACAGAACAGCAGAGCGGTTGGAAAAACTCATCATCTACAGAAAACTGAATTATATGAGCAGACAAAATGTTTCCAGTGTTGCAAAACAATAAGATGGTGTGAAAAATGTTTTCACACTTTCCTGATTTCATATGTTTTTCACACTTTGGTGTTTTCACTTTAAATTTTAGTCAAAAATACCACAAATAAACACAAAATTCAGCTTTTAAATGAAAGCTTTTATTTTTAAAGAAGAGCTAGCTCCTTTTCATAAAGTAAAATTAATTTATTTTATTCACATCATTTGATAATGCACCATTTATCTAATTATAGATAATACTTAATTTACATTATGTATTGAAAGTGAATGAATTATAAAACTGAATCCATTGTTTTTGTAATTTCAATTTAATTCAGTAAACGATGAAAATGGGTTTAATTAGGAAAAGTGAAATAGAAAAGCATTACATTAAGAGTTTTAATGTAAGCAGAGTAGGTGGTAGAAAAAGAGGTGGAATTAAATTAGTTTGTATTGTTTCTCTGTGTTGAAGCTTATTAGTAATAATTGCTAATATTTTTATTAATTATTGATAATAATAATAATAATAATTACTATTATAATAATACTTTTTATAATTATAACTATAAATTTGATAATTGATGTTATTTATAACAGTGATGATAATAGTATTATTATTAATGATGATAATATTTAACTTTGTGCTGCTTTACTGTTTATTTATTTATATTTTTTGTACATTACATGAAATTCACCTCATCTTGTTAAACTAAACATTTCAGGCTACCTTGTAAAAATAATAAGCATTTGCAAATGTTTTGTTTAGAATATAATTTCCTTCTCGGCCTTAAATAATGCATAGTAAACAGTTATTAACCATTTATTAAGTGTTTATAGCTGAATGGATCTATGAACTATTGTTTAGTAATTTATAAGGAGAGGCTTATTGTTAAGTGGATCTCTAATTATATTTTTATAATTTGATTTGTTAGTAATATGTTAACATCACATACTTTTAAATGTCCAGCGGAGTTGAATACATTTACTCAGTTACATTACTTGAGTAACTTGTTTGAGTATTTTCCTGCGCTCCATTTTTTACTTTTACTTGAGTAACTTTATTTTATTTATTTTGAAGTACACAAAACTTCACCAGATACACAACTCCACTTTTTGTTAAAGTTTTATATTGGAATAAATTGATTTAGAAAAATGTTTTTGTCTGATTTTACTGCTATATAGTGAGGTTTATATGAATTATTTTCATTTTGAGCTTTAAAATGCCAACAATGTCCACATAACTTTACGTTTTGTTCCGTTTGATGATGTAACTTTCAAACATCAAATGACAGTTACTCAGCTTTTTTACTAAATACTTTTTCACTCTTGAGTAAATTTGTGGGTACTCTGCTGTCCGGTGAACACTTCAGGGATTTCCTGCTGCTCAACACGGTTTGTGTCACCGCCATCTGTTCCGAGCGGATGACGCACAGCGCTGCGTCACGCCTCCCTCCCCGTCTCACACCGCATTTATGAAAATGAAATGTTCTCACACGGGAGCTGCAATTTACGAGGCGTCATTGAAGGCAACAAATGAGAACAAGCGAGGGAGAGAAAGGGGGTTTGCTCATCAGCGCTTTTTCCGTTTTCTGACGGCTCGTTGTTCCTCCTCCTCCTTCTGCCGTGTCACTGAACTAAAAAAAAAATAGAGGAAGGAATATGGTTTGGTGCGACGCTCCTCCCGTTTAGTAGCGGATCTCTGCAAACACGGACAGGAGGCTGTCGGTCCGGGTAAAAGCCGCCTCCAACACCTGAGACTATCGCCCACAGTCCTGCAGGAGAGCAGCCAGCACACCGGGACACATAAATGGGTGAGCCGCGGCGCATTTTTACATTTTATAATAATAATGATTATTATTTTAGTTGCTTCTGGTTTTTACGAGCCTCCTGCCTCCAATGCGCATCTGGATGGGACAGGACTCAACGCCCGCTCCAGATGCGCGCAGGGTTCCGTCTTTTCCATGCATGCACATTTATTTATTTGATTGTTTCTTATTCACTACTGATGCTTTTTTTTTTTCATGCATGATTAGAAAGCCACGCGTGGGAGAGTATGCGTCTGTTTTTTAGAGGAAAGGAAAGCCCTCTGATGAGTTGCAGATGTTGACACGTTTACATCCACTCTGTCCGTGAGCCTATTGTGTGTCACAGTGTTTCACGGTCCAGCTCAATGCCTGTGTGCACGTAAAAGGCCTTTGCCGTTTTCATCCACGCCAGCGTTTTTTCCCACGGGCAGCGCGCTGATGTTAACGGAGCATGACTGTAACTGGCTGCAGATAAGGTGGTCGAGAAATCAATGTCTCGATGCTTTGCAAAATAGGCTCATTGTCTGGTCTGACTTCCTTTTGTTTGCATATTTTGAAAATCCAAATGACCTCCAAGAAGCACTAATAAACCATTTTAAGTGCATTGTTCCTGTTGATGCATTGAACAATGCGCCTCAGGCTCAAACTTGTTTTTGAGTTTTACTTATGTGCCAAGTATAACGGTGATGGCTGCCAACCAGCCATCAACCTAAAACCCCAAAGTGCCCATTTCATGGTTAATAAGGAATTGATTAAATAGGTACTAAGCTGCTGAAATTGTAAAAAACATGACTTTATTTACTTAATAAGGAACAGTAAACAGGCTAGTGGATTAAAAGTATCCTTGAAACTCCCATTACAGACTTTTATTAGCTCTGTAGATCATAACAGAATCTTGGCGCTGTAAAAACTAACACTGTTGTAGAGTAATGCCTTTTTCATATGCAGATGTGCGACGAATATGTTTTCAGTAGAAATATTGGTATAGCAGTAATTATTTAGCTACAAACAGACCTGAAATTATTGATGTTTATGTGCCAGTTAGCATTAGCATAGTAGCATAGCTGGCAGCTACTAGAAGTTAGAAAAGTAGTGCATCCATGAACCACTGCCTTAAAAAAGATATTAGCATGTTTGTTTTACATTTATTGATTAGAAGAGTATACAAACAGCATGGCTATAACCAAACCTCACATACTCGCTAGGGTCAGCATAGCAGCACAGCTAGCAGCAACCAGAAACTAGAAAAGTGTTGTGTAGTTTAGTATATTTATGCACCTCTTCAGTGAAAGTAAGACCTGACATCTCGGAATGTTTATTATCAGTTATTGATTATAAGAGTATAAAAATAAAAATATGGCTGCAACCAAACCTCAAATACAAGCTGGAGTTAGCATAGTTTCAAAGCTAAAAGCTAATAGAAGTTAGAAAAGTTAGAAAACTAGTACATCCATGAATCACTGCCTTAAGAAAAGATATTGTTTGTTTTATATTTATTGATTAGAAGAGTATAAAAATAACAACATGGCTGCACCAAACGTCACATACTAGTGTTAGCATAGCTGCACTACTAAAAGCTACCAGAAGTTAGAAATATATTTTATAGTTTAGTAAGTCCCGGAGCCACTCCCATGAAAATAAGACTTGAAATCTGGGAATGTTTATCATCAAATTAATGATTAGAAGAGCATAAAATAATCACATGGCTATAACTGGACCTCACATGCTAGCTAGTGTTAGCATAGTAAAAACATCAGAAGCATCTCCTCAAAAGTAAAACACTGACTTGTGAAATGTTTATCATTCTATAACTGATGATGCAATTACAGGAATATAAATAACACTAAAAATAAAATTTTACATACAAGCTACGGTTAGCACAGTGGAGCTAACTGACACATGAAGAGAGGTATAGGTTTTAAGATCTAATGATAATTTCCTCAAAAGTAAGACATTGCTTAAATGCTTATTTTCTGTTCATTAGGCATATAAAATATAGATGACTCAGCTGAAATGCAACATTTGATGTTGTTTTTGTTCACAAGCTAATGTTAGTAATGCTGCACAGTTACCCGCTATGTGCCTATTTCACTATACTGTCTCATCACCTCAAACGTAAGACATTAACCCACATGGATATTTATTATCCATTTATTGATCAGAAGAGCATAACAATGTAAATAACATACCTGGAACTAAAAACCTTCATTTGTTCTTCTTTATGGACACCACTGCTGTAAAGCTAGCTACTAGAGGAAGCTAGAAACATGGCCGTTTACTCACCCACCCCATTAGCTAGAATCTAATGAGTCTAATCTAAAAAAAAGACACTGAGTTATCGCACTGATCTTCTTATTGATTAGGAATAAGCCATACCTGAAACTGAATCTCCCCTTTCTGTTCTCATTTATTTACACACTAACTTTAGCACTGACACACAGTTAGCTGCTGACGGATCGTTAGCAGTTTAAAACTTTCACGAGTCATTACCTTAACAGTAATACTTTGATTTGTGAAATGTTTTTATCTGTGGATTGATTAGAGGAGTTAGATCTGACACTGAGTCTCCCTTTCCTGTTTTTGTTACAGCCATATGCTGTAGTACAACTAGCTAATCCAAGAAGTTAAGAGAGTAGCAGCTCATGGGAAGTCACTATGCTGCAGCTGACCTGTTGATTGTTTCTTTTTAATCAATGGGGATCAATTTGACAGTGGAGTAAGTAGCTTTTATATTGATTATATTAAGAATATTACACATTATTGAGGATTAATGGCATCATAGTAAATGTTTCTGTCAGTAGATGATATGCTGTCACTGCTGGTTTTCTGCCAAGGCGCTGAGGTTTTAAAATGATTGAGATTCCTATTAATATTCAGGCAGACTGTGTTAATTGCTGTCATTCACTGTACAGCTCCATAAAATGTGAATAATTATTTTACTATAATGAAGGACTCCACTTTGTACTTGCATCTTGTATATTTTAATAATCTCTCCCACCAGAAGTTGTTTAATTCAGATAATATTCTGCATATTTAATCTGAAATTAAACAGAGAAATAGGAAAACTCAATAATTGGAAATGATGAGAGTAATAACACTGTTGAATATTGTGATGGTGATGAAAATAATACATTTTCTTCTTATTTTCTGTCACTTTGATGAGCCACTACTCTCCTTGATGTTTAGTTTCTTGGTTACAAAGATCTACATCAGATTTGGGCATAAAAGACATTGAAAGTGCATTGAAGCAGCAAAATATATAACTGGGAAGCAAAGTTTGATTATATGACACCTAAAATATCTGAAATGAAAGTTTGCAGTTGTACTGACCCAAATGTGATGACATTATTCACTAATTATGTTGTTTTCTTACGATAAAATCTTCCTCTGATTGGGTACGACTTAAATCGGATACATAAATGTCTAATATATACAGCTGAAACAAGATATTTACATAAATACAATATAAAACCTCAGCAATTTCTCTTTCTTCATGACTTTAAATTAAACTGAACGTATCCTGTGTTAGGAGCAGCAAATTTGTTTGTCTTCACTGAATGTCAGATTTTTATATTATAAAGTTTCTTTAAGGTTGGAGTTTGGCACGTCTTTTCTCATATCCGCTCCAGAACATTGACTTTGTTGCTGTTAATTGGGAAAACCCAAACTTCAGTATTTCTTCATTGTGTTCATGACGTAACCCCTTTCCCAAAGCACAATGCTGCCACCACCGTACACCACAACATGGTGTTGCTCTCTGGCTTGCCGTTCTTTCTTCCTAATGTACCGATGGTCACATTGGTCAGACAAACTAAAGTTTTTATCCCTCAGTGAATTACAGATGGTGTAATCTGACTTCTGGGTTGTGTATGAGAGTGTTGGCTTCTTCCTCACCGAATGGCATTTCAGCCCACATTCGGACCGAACTGTGTCATTATTCTCTTTTACCAAAGTGCCTTCAGAAGGTCTTTTCCATTGGTTCTGGTCCATTTCCTTCCTGAACCGTACAATGTTGATATTTAACTGATCAATGGGTCATATTCAGGCATTTCAGATTGAACCCAAAGATGAACCAAAGCTGTTCACAACTCTTTTCCCGATATCTTGGCTGATTTTCCAAAGATGTCCCACAAAGATATGGTGTGTTTGAGGTTTTGTCTTAAGCAACAAAATGGGTTTATTTCCATTCCAAGACATGATTGTCTGGGATTGAATAATCTAAAGACGTACAGCTGTGTCTTTTTTGAACAGATCCGAAGTGTGAAAGTGATAACAGTCAGTACAGTAGGATTGATGTTTTTGAATTTTATTGTTGGATGTCGTAAATGTGAACAGTCTTCACTCTGTTGTGACACATCCGCTGCCTTTTTTACTTCCCCATTCAGATCTTTCGCTCTTAACGCCGCACTGAAAACACGACTCAACCCAACAGTCGCTGCACATCGAAAACCAGTAAAAATCCAGCTTAATTACCTAAAGAGTCCTTAAATCTCTAACCTATATTAAAATAAAACATCCTCCTCCAAAACTGACGGTTAAAATTAAAACTAAGTAGACCCAGGCATCATGAAGAACTTGTTTGATTGAGTCCCAGAAGTTTGAAACATTTATAAAACACCTTCAATATGGATTTTAAAATGTAGAACTAATGAATCAAACAGTTCCTACTTTCTGGGGAAGCAATGATGTTGATTCTGTTTATGCAAACTGGATCCGGTTTGAGTGGCAGAGCTGGTTCTGATCCATTTGGGTTTGAAATCACTTAATTTCACAAAGTAAGTCTTTTGTTGTTCTCCAGAAGTGTCCTTTGATAGTTAGTTTTTGATTTAAACTCAAAATCGAATTTGTCGGTTCCATGTTGTGTCACATTTTTAAATTTCCTGTTGCATCAAACGTAGGTTTTCACATTTATCTATATCTGTTTTTAGCAGCAAAGTGAACAAAAGAACTAAAGGAATAAGTAATTAAGTTGCTCCATTTTGCACATTATTTGAGGATCTGCTCCG